CATGCAGATTTTGTTCCTTTTTTGGAGTGAGCGGGGGGCGATTTGAGTGGAGCGCGATGCAAACTGCGTTGAGCGCTGAGCGATAATGACTGTGCCACTAGAGATCCTGGTTCGAATCCAGGCTCTGTCGCAGCCGGCCGCGACCGGGAGACTCATGGGCGGCGCACAATTGGCCCAGCGTCGTCCAGGGTAGGGGAGGGAATGGCCGGCAGGGATGTAGCTCAGTTGATAGAGCATGGCGTTTGCAACGCCAGGGTTGTGGGTTCGATTCCCACGGGGGGCCAGTATAAAAAAAAATATATGTATTCACTAACTGTAAGTCGCTCTGGATAAGAGCGTCTGCTAAATGACTAAAATGTAAATGTAAAATGTAATGAGCGGACTGGCCTGATGTGGCTTTGAGCGGGGGGAGCGGAGGGGTGAACAGCTCCGTGAGCGAGGAGCTGAGATTCTCACTGCTCCACTCCGCTCATATGCTCTGCTGTCAGGCCAAAAAGTTCAATCTTGGTTTCATCAGACCAGAGAATCTTGTTTCTGATGGTCTGAGAGTCCTTTAGGTGCCTTTTGGCAAACTCCAAGTGGGCTGTCATGTGCCTTTTACTGAGGAGTGGTTTCCATCTGGCCACTCTACCATAAAGGCCTGATTGGTGGAGTGCTGCAGAGATGGTTGTCCTTCTGGAAGGTTCTCCCATCTCCACAGAGGAACTCTGGAGCTCTGTCAGAGTGACCATCGGGTTCTTGGTCACCTCCCTGACCAAGGCCCTTCTCCCCCGATTGCTCAGTTTGGCCAGGTGGCCAGCTCTAGGAAGAGTCTTGGTGGTTCCAAACTTCTTCCATTTAAGAATGATGGAGGCCACTGTGTTCTTGGGGACCTTCAGTGCTGCAGACATTTTTTGGTACCCTTCCCCAGATTTGTGCCTCGACACAATCCTGTCTCGGCTCTCTACGGACAATTCCTTCAACCTCATGGCTTGGTTTTTGCTCTGACATGCATTGTGAACTGTGGGACCTTATATAGACAGGTGTGTGCCTTTCCAAATCATGTCCAATCAATTAAATGTACCACAGGTGGACTACAATCAAGTTGTAAAAACATTTCAAGGATGATCAATGGAAACAGGATGCACCTGAGCTCAATTTCGAGTCTCATAGCAAAGGGTCTGAATACTTATGTAAATAAGGTATTTCTGTTTTTAATTTGTAATACATTTGCAAACATTTCTAAAAACCTGTTTTCGCTTTGTCATTATGGGGTATTGTGTGTAGATTGCTGGAGGATTTGTATTTATTTAATTTTACATTTTAGTCATTTAGCAAACGCTCTTATCCAGAGCGACTTACAGTTAGTGTACATTGTTTTTTTTTTGTTTGTTTTTTTCATACTGGCCCCCCGTGGGAATCGAACCCACAACCCTGGCGTTGCAAACACCATGCTCTACCAACTGAGCTACATCCCTGCCGGCCATACCCTCCCCTACCCTGGACGACGCTAGGCCAATTGTGCACCGCCCCATGGGTCTCCCGGTCGCGGCCGGCTACTACAGAGCCTGGATTCGAACCAGGATCTCTAGTGGCACAGCATGTTAGAATAAGGCTGTAACGTAACAAAATGTGGAAAGAGTTAAGAGGTCTGAATACTTTCTGAAGGCACTGTATGTAATTACACTGGCAACATTGGGAAGAAGAGGAATAATAAAATAAGTGTGGGGAATAACAGTAGTGTTCTTGCTGACAAGCACACCAATTACCCTATATTTAGCCCATTGTTAAGAATTAGAATTGTTCCACTGATCAGACTAAATAAAGTAAATAATACAATCTCCTGAACACAAGATTACATACATCTGCCCCTACACCCTAACGAAATTATTTTTCTATTTATTGTCCCCCCTCTAGAATCAAACATACAATTTTGGGTTCACAAAATGTTTTTCGTGGCTACAAATCAGGTCACCCTAACAAACGTCCCTGCTAAAACATACTGTAGGTCTGTCTGCTGCCTTTTCGTTGTCACAGCCTAAATGCCAATCACCAAACAAGGGGACTAATGCAGTGTGGATTAAATCGACTTTAGTACATGCTGTCAAAAGGCTGCATTCTGCAATAGGGACATTACCTAATTTTGTTGAAAACATTGTACATAAAACAGCGCTACCGTGCTGCTCTTTTTACAGTTTTATAAACTCAGCGTTCTCTTTCTCCATTCAGCACCACTCTAATCTTGAGGGGTGTTTCTTTAAAACATGCATCCAATCCCCTTGATCCCGTACAGTGCATTCGGAAAGTATTCAGACCCCTTCAATTTGTCCACATTTTGTTACGTTACAGCCTTATTCTAAAATTGAATTTTTCCCTCATCAATCTAAACCTGGCACCATCCCTACGGTGAAGCATGGTGGTAGCAGCATCATGCTGTGGGGGTGTTTATCAATGGCAGGGACTGGGAGACTAGTCAGGATTGAGGGAAAGATGAACGGAGCAAAGTACAGAGAGATCCTTGATGAAAACCTGCTCCAGAGCACTCAGGACCTCAGACTGGGGCGAAGGTTCACCTTCCAACTGGACAACGACCCTAAGCACACAGCCAAGACAACAAAGGAGTGGCTTCAGGACAAGTCTCTGAATGTCCTTAGTGGCCCAGCCAGAGCCCGGACTTGAACCTGATCGAACATCTCTGGAGAGACCTGAAAATAGCTGTGCAGCGACGTTCCCCATCCAACCTGACAGAGCTTGAGAGGATCTGCAGAGAAGAATGGGAGAAACTCCCCAAATACAGTTGTGCCAAGCTTGTAGCATCATACCCAAGAAGACTTGAGGCTGTAATCGCTGCCAAAGGCGCTTCAACAAAGTACTGAGTAAAGGGTCTGAATACTTATGTAAATGTAATATTTCAGTTTTTTTATTTGTAATACATTTGCAAAAATTTCTAAAACCCTGTTTTTGCTTTGTCATTATGGGGTATTGTGTGTAGATTGATGAGGGAAAAAAACTATTTAATCAATTTTACAATAAGGCTGTAACATATCAAAATGTGGAAAAAGTGAAGGGGTCTGAATAATTTCTGAATGTACTGTAACTAGACCAATCATATGCTTCAATGTGCCATGGTTTACAGTGCTGTGGCAAGACAGGACAATGATAGAGGTTTTGCTCGTGATGTTAAATTGCAGGCACAGATGCTACGATTTCAAAACGATTTGGAGCACAGTTGAAGAGTTAATGCACTGACTATACAATGGGGCCAATTAAGAAAATAAAGTACTTTTTAATGCGTGAGATATAAGAGATGTGGCGTGAGAAGAGGGTCAAATGCGTGTCTCATGGCCAATGCCTGAGAGTTGGCAGCTCTGCAGTGCCTTCAGAAAGTATTCATACCCATTAACTTATTCCACATTTTGTTGTGTTACAGCCTGAATTCAAAATGGATGACATGTATTTCTTTTTCTCACCCATCTACACACAACACCCCATAATGACAAAGTGAAAACATGTTCACTCAGGAACATCCACTGTCTTCTTGGTCTTGTGTTTAGGTTATTGTCCTGCTGAAAGGTGAATTCATTTCCCAGTGTCTAGTGGAAAGCAGACTGAACCTGTTTTTTTGTCTGTGCCTAGCTCCATTCCGATTCTTTTTTATCACGAAAATAATCCTCAGTCCTTAACGATTACAAGCATACCCATAACATGATGCAGCCACCGCTATGCTTGAGAATATGGAGACTGGTACTCAGTAATGTGTTGTATTGGATTTGCCCCAAACATAACACTTTGTATTCAGGACAAAAAGTTTAATTGCGTTGCCATATTTCTTTCAGTAATACTTTAGTGCCTTGTTGCAAACAGGATGCATGTTTTAGAATATTTGTATTCTGTACAGGCTTCCTTCTTTTCACTCTGTCATATAGGTTAGTATTGTGGAGTAACTACAATGTTGTTGATCCATCCTCAGTTTTCTCCTATCACAGCCATTGTAACTGTTTTAAAGTCACCATTGTCCTCATGGTGAAATCTCTGAGTGGTTTCCTTCCTCTCCGGCAACTGAGTTAGGAAGGACGCCTGTGTCTTTGTAGTGACTGGGTGTATTGATACACCATCCAAAGTGTAATTAATAAGTTCACCATGCTCAAAGGGATATTCAATGTCTGCTTTTTATTTTTACCCATCTACCGATAGGTGCCCTTTGCGAGGCATTGGAAAACCTCCCTGGTCTTTGTGGTTGAATCTGTGATTGAAATTCACTGCTCGACTGAGGGACCTTACAAATAATTGTATGTGTGGGGTACAGAGATGAGGTAGTCATTCAAAAATCATGTTAAACACTATTATTGAGTCCATGCATGTGACTTCTGAACTTATTTAGGCAACAATAACAAAGGGGTTAAATACTTATTGACTCAAGACATTTCAGCTTTTCATTTTTAAATCATTTTAATTTAGAAAAATATCTAAATTTAATCCATTTTAAATTCAGGCTGTAATAAAACAAAATGTGGAAAAAGTCAAGGGGTGTGAATACTTTCTGAAGGCACTGTAAGTTATATAAACATGAATCACCTGCTATATACTTTTTCCACACCTACTATATATTCTAGAAGATTATGATGCTATATAGTACCTTGCTAAAGTGTATTTTGAGTCTCAGTGATACATCATAATATATTTAAAGCTGCAATATGTAACTTTTTGTGCGACCTGATCAAAATTTGATGAAATTTGAGGTATAGATCTGTCATTCTCATTGAATGCAAGACTAAGAAGCGGTAAATCTGTTCTATGTGCATATTTCTATGCTTCCCGTTCTTAAGTTTTGTTTTTGCGTCTTTTACTTTTGGTTTCATACACCAGCTTCAAACAGCTGAAATTAAAATAGTTTTGGTTATTGAAAAGATCGAATTTTAGCAACCAGGAAATGACAGAGTGATTTCTGCATATTTCACCTTTAAATATAAGGTGAAGAAGGGTATCACTGTATTAGGTGATGTACAGTACAGGGTGAGGACTCACTGTGGTGCCTCGGGGACCTGAAGGGAAGTCAGGGAGCGGTGGATGGGGGTGAAAGGTCGAGCTGACTGGTCCTTCTTCCTCCCTGAGTCGATGTCAGAGTCAGACTCTGAGCAGGGAGGTCGGGGCTGGACACGCTGCCACTCCTCTCTCCTCTTCTGCTCCCTCTGCTGAGCCTCCTCCTGTTCCTGCTCCTCCTTCTGGAGGAGGTGGAAGTAACCCCGGCCCTGCCTGACCGCTGACACCAAACGGCTGGGGGACAGAGGTATAACACACACTCACGAGATGAGTATATGGATACTGTACATACCGATACAGCAGGTGACTGACTGGGCTTGAGAGTGGGTCATCTACATGTCACAAGATTGTGTTAAAACCTGAAGCCTAGGCAGTAACTCATCATGCCACCAAGATTCCCAGAAACCACTTCTGTTACAAACACAAAAAGAGTCACAAATATGTTAAATCCCTTCGTACTACCGTGACCGAAAATAGCACCCAACCCAAAAATAGAATAGGACCGACTCTATATACAGCAGTCAATTGAGGATGTACATCACCTGTGTAATTCCTAAGCAGACAGCAGATACCCTGTCATAGATCACAGCATTATGGAGTTACCAGGTCTTTAAATCACACCAATCAGAGTGGACCAGGTCTCTAAATCACACCAATCAGAGTGGACCAGGTCTTTAAATCACACCAATCAGAATGGACCAGGTCTCTAAATCACCCCAATCAGAGTGGACCAAGTCTCTAAATCATCACAGCGGCAGCAGGCTGAAATGATATCCCTAAATAGAGAATTATGGGAGAAATATGTGACGTGTGGCAAACTAATGGTTTCATTACAGTGATTTAGCACCATCCCATAACCTTTCCCTTCCTTTCCAAACCATGTCTGCTGGTTTTCACCGGTGGCTGCATGCGTCATTACTTCGCATTAATATGCTACTGGTGGAAATTAAAACACACACACTTGGATACGCAGGCATGCACACACACGTGGATGCACGAACACACGGAGGCACACGAGCACGCGTGCACACACACTGAAGTGTCAAAGCCATGGTTTGACTTTGCGGCTGAATTAACTGTAATACGCCTCAGTGTTTCTTAATCATCACACATTAGTAAGGAGCCTTGGTAGTGGGGCAAAGAGCATGATTCTATTGCTTCTAATAATCTGCTAGAATGGAGTATAGGTCTCAATCGTATACTACGGTACAGGCTTACTGTACTGTAAGTGCTGGTCACGCATTGGTCATTCCAAAAGACATAGGGCAGCATGTAGCCTAGCGGTTAAGAGCGTTGGGCCGATAACTGAAAGGTTGCTGGTTCGAATCCCAGAGCTGGCTAAGTGAAAAATCAGTTGATGCACCCTTCAGCAAGGCACTTAACCCTAATTGCTCTGGATAAGAGTGTCTGCTAGAATGGAGTGTAGGTCACAATTGTATACTATAGTACACACCTACTGTAAGTGCTGGTCATGCGTTGGTCTAAATTAAAGCTATAATAAAGTACACATTTTCCAAAATGAGTACTTGTGGAGTTTTAACTGATCTTGAACACACGATACATCTTGTACTTGTGTCAATGACAGCCAGTTAAATGACACCAGATGAGATAAAAAGACCCAACTGTGGAATAATTCTCTCTTTCAAGCCTTTTGTCAGATAGGACAACAACAAAAAACAAGAGGCTTGTATATGTTAGAGCCCTCTCCTATTTAAATCATTATTCCTCATCTAGTGAGCAGCTGGCTGGCAATACTTCCCCCAGGAGTGGAGCCAAACAGACAAACGCTGCAGATTCGGACGGCATCACTGTTCATACTGGCACACACGCCCGCACGCCCACAAGGCACACACACACACACACACACACACACACACACACACACACACACACACACACACACACACACACACACACTCATGGAGGGCATCAGTGTTTGAGCTCTTTAATGTTAATTTGCTCTGTTTCGTTTCAGGCTGAACATTGCTTAAATCTGAAGCATCCCCTGCTTGCTCTATTTGTGATACCACAGCCCACTCCAGATCAGTGACTCTCCCTATCAAATCCCACGTGCGATGTCTTAATCCAGAATGCTGCCATGCCTTTATCAAAGCATCTTTCGATCCATCAATCAGCATCTGTAGTGAATCATAGCATCACAGCAGCAACACATTCTCAGATCAGTTGCCATATGGTATTCCACACATACTGTTGACAGCAACAGCACAGTGTTGTGTGTATGGACAGTGGGCAAGTATCTCTCTATTTTTCTTTGTGTTACTGTATGAAAGTGCCCTTGACTAGACAAAGGCAGTATCTGAGTCTACCATTGCCCTTAAGTCTCAGGTGTTGAAGCCAGAGAGCCACTTGTGGTGCATCACCACTGAATCAATTAGTCTTCATCCCAAAAGGAACTCTATTCCCTATGGGAGCCCTATGGGCCCTGGTCAAAAGTAGAGCACTAGGGAGTCGGGTGCCTTTTGGGATGCAGATAATGTGTGTAGGTTGCATTGCTGTGGCTATAGAATATTGGAACTCCAATGGCTAAATGCATCTTAAAGAAGGCTAATAAGGCTGGTTGTTGATACACACAAAGCAGCGTTCAGATCAGGTCTAGTGTACCAGTGATTTCAGTGATGTACGTTTAACATCTTGTAAGCATTGAGCTTCCAATCAATATCATTTTGCTATCCTCAAAACTTGGTCTAAACCTGATATTTGCAAATCACCAACAGAAAGTAAAAAAACAATTTTTAAAAAGAACAGCGCAAAAGTTAGCTATGACGCTGGTAAGCCAGACTATGTCAAAGGTGACAGAAACACTGAAAAATTGTGTTTAACATAGGTGATATGCCAATACGTGAGTATGAAAGGAATTCTTTACAGTCGTTTAAATAATTCACAGTGTTCGGTTGGTAAATGAGCACCGTTACTCTGTTGATTTCTTCAACAGGTCAGATCTGAAGAGCTCTTGGGTGGCAGTTAGCCTGTTGCTAGGCAACCAAAGGCATGTAGTTCACAAATTGAGAAGTAGTGATACAGTGATCTGGCACTGAAGCTTTGTGTCTCTATACAGAGAGAAGGCCAATCTGAAATGGCTCTACATGTAAAAGGGAGAAATGTGAAAATATCCATGTTCAGAACAAGGTCCGTCCTAACTGTTAATTGGGGTAAATTCCACCTACATTAAAGTTAGTTAAGGGATTGAATTGCAGTCCTATGGAGAAATTCCATGTCCAATTCAGCTGACAGGAATTGAAATTATATCCTCTCAATGTAGTGTTGAAATGCAACAGATTGTTTGTCCGCTGTGGGGCGGGCACATTCTCTCATCACTGTGTCCTGCAGGCAGCAGATACCTGGCACAGACCAGACGTGGCATTTGGTGTGTGTGTGTCTGTGTGTGTGTGTGTGTGAGTGTGTGTGTATATAACAACTCTCAGCTTCACCACAGGGTGTGCAGACAGACTACACCCTCTCAGGACATCCAAGGGCGTCCCCAAAACGGCTGACATTTCTGACAGCTTCTTATAAAACCCAGATTATTGAATAATTCATACAGGTGTTTGAGGAGAGGAAAGGTTACCGTTTTAGAAGGAGAGAAAAGGAGAAATAGCCCTAATGAATAGTGTCTGTTTTCCCTCTGTGCGAAAAATAGAGAGGGGCTTCAGTGGTAATAGCCTACCCCTTTACAGTATTTTTATATTTGGGAAGACTTGATACCCTATTTTTTGTATTGTATACAGAAGAAATAGCGCATGTAGTTTCGTAAGCCATAAAATGAAATATAATATGATACCAGCAAAGGTAATTCTCTTATCATATCACAAAAATGGTCACCATCAATATTTGTTATTAGTAACGTTTACAGTAGGACACAGAAAAGGACGTTGCCATTTTTTGCTGACAGAAAACACATTGGGTACCTCCCAAATGGCACCCTATTCCCTACATAGTATACTACTTTTGACCCGAGCCCTATATGGACCCTGGTCAAAAGTAATCCACTACATAGGGAAAAGGGTGCCATTTGGGACACACTCTTTAATAATCATGGTAGTCATATGCAGAGCTTCTATTCCTCTGGTATGACTGAATACATCAGTATCTCTGGTGGTATGCATTCTCCACTGGGTTTCCTTGTTATGTATAATCAGATCTTCTCATGGCTCGCCAAGCATCTCTTCAGATATCTACATCATACATCACAGGGCTGCCTGTTTCTAAAATAACACAGCAATCAGCACTTCAATGGGGAAATCTGTTTCACATCCCATGATACTTGATAGATACCATGGCTGCGTCCCAATTGCCACCCTATTTATTCCCTACATCGTGCACTACTTTTGACCAGACCCCTATGGGCCATGGTCAAAAGTTATGCACTATATAGGGAATAGGGTGCCATTTGGGACGCACTTGGTTGCCTATGCAGCTTCTTCATCCAACCTCATTTACAGTTGAAGTCGGAAGTTTACATACACCTTAGCCAAATACATTTAAACTCCATTCATTCCTGACATTTAATCCTTGTAAAAATTCCCTGTCTTAGGTCAGTTAGGATCACCACTTTATTTTAAGAAGGTGATATGTCAGAATAAAAGTAGAGAGAATGATTTCTTTCAGCTTTTATTTCTTTCATCACATTCCCAGTGGGTCAGAAGTTTACATACACTCAATTAGTATTTGGTAGCATTGCCTTTAAATTGTTTAACCTGGGTCAAAGCGTTTCGGGTAGCCTTCCACAAGCTTCTCACAATAAGTTGGGTGAATTTTGGGCCATTCCTCCTAACAGAGCTGGTGTAATTGAGTCAGGTTTGTAGGCCTCCTTGCTCACACACGCTTTTTCAGTTCTGCCCACACATTTTCTATATGATTGAGGTCAGGGCTTTGTGATGGCCATTCCAATACCTTGACTTTGTTGTCCTTAAGCCATTTTGCCACAACTTTGGAAGTATCCTTGGGGTCATTGTCCATTTGGAAAACCCATTCGCGACCAAGCTTTAACTTCCTGACTGATGTCTTGAAATGTTGCTTCAATATATCCACATAATTTTCCTTCCTCATGATGCCATCTATTTTGTGAAGTGCACCAGTCCCTCCTGCAGCAAAGCACCCCCACAGCATGATGCTGCCACTCCCGTGTTTCACGGTTGGGATGGTGTTCTTCGGCTTGCAAGCACCCCCTTTTTCCTCCAAACATAACGATGGTCATTATGGCCAAACAGTTATATTTTTGTTTCATCAGACCAGAGGACATTTCTCCAAAAAGTATGATCTTTGTCCCCATGTGCAGTTGCAAACCGTAGTCTGGCTTTTTTATAGCGGTTTTGGAGCAGTGGCTTCTTCCTTGCTGAGCGGCCTTTCAGGTTATGTCGATATAGGACTCGTTTTACTGTGGCTATAGATACTTTTGTACCTGTTTCCTCCAGCATCTTCACAAGGTCCTTTGCTGTTGTTCTGGGATTGATTTGCACTTTTCGCACCAAAGTACGTTCATCTCTAGGAGACAGAACGAGTCTCCTTCCTGAGCGGCTGCGTGGTCCCATGGTGTTTATACTTGCGTACTATTGTTTGTACAGATGAACGTGGTACCTTCAGGCGTTTGGAAATTGCTCCCAAGGATGAACCAGACTTGTGGAGGTCTACCATTTTTTTCCCCTGAGGTCTAGGCTGATTTATTTTGATTTTCCCATGATGTCAAGCAAAGAGGCACTGAGTTTGAAGGTAGGCCTTGAAATACATTTACAGGTACACCTCCAATTGACTCAAATTATGTCAATTAGCCTATCAGAAGCTTCTAAAGCCATGACATCATTTTCTGGAATTTTCCAAGCTGTTTAAAGGCACAGTCAACTTAGTGTATGTAAACTTCTGACCCACTGGAATTGTAATACAGTGAATTATAAGTGAAATAATCTGTCTGTAAACAATTGTTGGAAAAATGACTTATGTCATGCACAAAGTAGATGTCCTAACCGACTTGCCAAAACTATAGTTTGTTAACAAGAAATTTGTGGAGTGGTTGAAAAAACGAGTTTTAATGACTCCAACCTAAGTGTCTGTAAACATCCGACTTCAACTGTACATCGTCTACATGTTTGTTTGATGAATTAAACATGATTTAATTTGTTTTTTAGTGGTCTTGTAAAACAGCCCATTGGCCACAGCTGTTGATGTAAGAAAGCGGATTTATTGTCATCCTGACCATGACATTTACCTATGTAATGTAGAGACGTGTATTAAAGGTAATGAACAGTCAAAATCAAGTTTTTCATGAAATTTGATGATATTTTAAGGAAACCAGATCAAAGTATGATGATCAAAGTATGAAAAATGACTGTTGCTTCTACATTGATAAAGTTTAATCATAAAGTTACTGGTCCCCTCCCCCATGTCAAACATTTGGATTCATTATTAAGGGGAAAAGGTGACATCACCTTAACTCTCATTTTAATACACCAATGGTAACATGATATTCTCTTACCTAATTTAAATAAGTACCGCTTTGAAACTAAGGCCGGAGAAGGCGTGTTTGCAGAGGGGCGTGGTTTATATAGCTAGATAGCTACTCTACTGGTGCCAAGAATTGACTGTAGAGTGTCAGCAAATATCATTAAAAGTTCACCCTATTCATCTATGGCAAAGATACTTATACAGTGAGGGAAAAAAGTATTTGATCCCCTGCTGATTTTGTACGTTTGCCCACTGACAAATAAATGATCAGTCTATAATTTTAATGGTAGGTTTATTTGAACAGTGAGAGACAGAATAACAACAAAAAAATCCAGAAAAACGCATGTCAAAAATGTTATAAATTGATTTGCATTTTAATGAGGGAAATAAGTATTTGACCCCCTCTCAATCAGAAAGATTTCTGGCTCCCAGGTGTCTTTTATACAGGTAACGAGCTGAGATTAGGAGCACACTCTTAAAGGGAGTGCTCCTAATCTCAGTTTGTTACCTGTATAAAAGACACCTGTCCACAGAAGTAATCAATCAAACAGATTCCAAACTCTCCACCATGGCCAAGACCAAAGAGCTCTCCAAGGATGTCAGGGACAAGATTGTAGACCTACACAAGGCTGGAATGGGCTACAAGACCATCGCCAAGCAGCTTGGTGAGAAGGTGACAACAGTTGGTGCGATTATTGGCAAATGGAAGAAACACAAAATAACTGTAAATCTCCCTCTGCCTGGGGCTCCATGCAAGATCTCACCTCGTGGAGTTGCAATGATCATGAGAACGGTGAGGAATCAGCCCAGAACTACACGGGAGGATCTTGTCAATGATCTCAAGGCAGCTGGGACCATAGTCACCAAGAAAACAATTGGTAACACACTACGCCGTGAAGGACTGAAATCCTGCAGCGCCCGCAAGGTCCCCCTGCTCAAGAAAGCACATATACATGCCCGTCTGAAGTTTGCCAATGAACATCTGAATGATTCAGAGGAGAACTGGGTGAAAGTGTTGTGGTCAGATGAGACCAAAATCGAGCTCTTTGGCATCAACTCAACTCGTCGTGTTTGGAGGAGGAGGAATGCTGCCTATGATCCCCACCGTCAAACATGGAGGTGGAAACATTATGCTTTGGGGGTGTTTTTCTGCTAAGGGGACAGGACAACTTCACTGCATCAAAGGGACGATGGACGGGGCCATGTACCGTCAAATCTTCGGTGAGAACCTCCTTCCCTCAGCCAGGGCATTGAAAATGGGTCGTGGATGGGTATTCCAGCATGACAATGACCCAAAACACACGGCCAAGGCAACAAAGGAGTGGCTCAAGAAGAAGCACATTAAGGTCTTGGAGTGATCTAGCCAGTCTCCAGACCTTAATCCCATAGAAAATCTGTGGAGGGAGCCGAAGGTTCGAGTTGCCAAACGTCAGCCTCGAAACCTTTAATGACTTTGAGAAGATCTGCAAAGAGGAGTGGGACAAAATCCCTCCTGAGATGTGTGCAAACCTGGTGGCCAACTGCAAGAAACGTCTGACCTCTGTGATTGCCAACAAGGGTTTTGCCACCAAGTACTAAGTCATGTTTTGCAGAGGGGTCAAATACTTATTTCCCTCATTAAAATGCAAATCAATTTATAATATTTTTTTTTACATGCGTTCTTCTGGATTTTTTTGTTGTTATTCTGTCTCTCACTGTTCAAATAAACCTACCATTAAAATTATAGACTGATCATGTCTTTGTCAGTGGGCAAACGTACAAAATCAGCAGGGGATCAAATACTTAATTCCCTCACTGTATGTTTCCCCTTTCATCTGTGTCAGGTGTTAGCTAGTTACTGGCTAGCTAGGTCTTCAGCCAGCATGGAACAAAATGGGGGTGAAGGGTCGTTCAAAACTCTGATGCAGTTATCAAGTCAACACATCAGTTGCTGCTGCTGTGAACCGCATCACAAGAGACATGCGAAATGGGAGATGTATATATATATATTTTTTAATAGATACTTGATGCAATTTCAATGTTGTTTGAGTTGCTTTGTGTATCACCAAATGTACTTGAGATGATTTTACTGCAACACTGCTCACTGCATCCAAGTTGCTTGACTTACAGTAGGTGTTTCAAAGAGCTGTCAGTCAAGGCGAGCTCATGAATATAAGCACCCGCTCACTCAGCCTGTCTTTTCAAACTTCCTGGTAAATAACCATTAGAGAAAAAGTACATTTCAGAATGACTGTTCAGGAGCTTTAAAATATGAGTGATTACATTTTTGTATAAGAGTGATATAATGGCTTATCTAGGGAAAATATGATGTATCGAGATGTGCTGATGGCAATATGTGAAATTAAATTAGGCAGAGTCAATAGACAGTCTCTGGTAAAATAATTAACACGCACGCACGCACGCGCGCGCGCGCACACACACACACACACACACACACACACACACACACACACACACACACACACACACACACACACACACACACACACACACACACACACACACACACACACACACACACACACACACACACACACACACACACACACACACACACACACACACACACACACACACACATATACACATACACACACACAGCAGCCTCACCTGGTATGTCCCAAATGCTTCCTAAGAGATACTGCATCCTCTCTCTTCCCAGCCTGGGGGTAACGAAACGGCAAGCTCTAGAAAACAACAAAAACAAACAACAACATCAACAACAAACAAAAGGACAAGTAGACAGTTTTTAACCCTGTAGCTCTGAACAACACTTCTTCGCATAAAAAGCCTCAGCGGAGTCGACTAGTGTGTGTGTGTGTGTGTGTGTGTGTGTGTGTGTCCTCCTCTGACCAGGCAGCGGGCCAGGAGTAAATAGTGTATTGCTAACTCTCTCCTCTGCTCTTGTCCTTCTAGACCTGTCTGCTGCCTTTGATACAGTGAACCATCAGATCCTCCTCTCCACCCTCTCCGAGCTGGGCATCTCCGGCGCGGCTCACTCCTGGATTGCGTCCTACCTGACCGGTCGCTCCTACCAAGTGGCGTGGCGAGAAGCTGTCTCCGCACCACGTGCTCTCACCACTGGTGTCCCCCAGGGCTCAGTTCTAGGCCCTCTCCTTTTCTCCCTATACACCAAGTCACTTGGCTCTGTCATATCCTCACATGGCCTCTCCTATCATTGCTACGCTGACGATACACAACTAATCTTATCCTTTCCCCCTTCTGATAACCAGGTGGCGAATCGCATCTCTGCATGTCTGGCCGACATATCAGTATGGATGACGGATCACCACCTCAAGCTGAACCCTGGCAAGACGGAGCTGCTCTTCCTCCCGGGGAAGGACTGCCCGTTCCATGATCTCGCCATCACGGTTGACAACTCCGTTGTGTCCTCCTCCCAGAGTGCGAAGAGCCTTGGCGTGACCCTGGACAACACCCTGTCGTTCTCCGCTAACATCAAGGCGGTGACCCGATCCTGCAGGTTCATGCTCTACAACATTCGGAGAGTACGACCCTGCCTTACACAGGAAGCGGCACAGGTCCTAATCCAGGCACTTGTCATCTCCCGTCTGGATTACTGCAACTCGCTGCTGGCTGGGCTCCCTGCCTGTGCCATTAAACCCCTACAACTCATCCAGAATGCCGCAGCCCGTCTGGTGTTCAACCTTCCCAAGTTCTCTCACGTCACCCCCCTTCTCCGCACACTCCACTGGCTTCCAGTTGAAGCTCGCATCCGTTACAAGACCATGGTGCTTGCCTATGGAGCAGTGAGGGGAACGGCACCTCCGTACCTTCAGGCTCTGATCAGTCCCTACACCCAGGCGAGGGCATTGCGTTCATCCACCTCTGGCCTGCTGGCTCCCCTTCCTCTGCGGAAGCATAGTTCCCGCTCAGCCCAGTCAAAGCTGTTCGCTGCTCTGGCACCCCAATGGTGGAACAAGCTCCCTCACGACGCCAGGACAGCGGAGTCACTCACCACCTTCCGGAGACATTTGAAACCCCACCTCTTTAAGGAACACCTGGGATAGGATAAAGTAATCCTTCTACCCCTCCCCCCCCCAAAAAAAAAAAATAAAAAAAATAAAATAGTATAATTGTAAAGTGGTTATCCCACTGGCTATAGGGTGAATGCACCAATTTGTAGTCGCTCTGGATAAGAGCGTCTGCTAAATGACGTAAATGTGCCCTTGAGCAAGGCACTTAACCCTAATTGCTCCTGTAAGTCGCTCTGGATAAGAGCGTCTGCTAAATGACTAAAATGTAATGTAAATGTAAATGTCTAATGTGCTAATGCTACATCGCTCATAGAAATGACAGATATTCACACAATGAATCCCTCTGCATAATCGAGAAGCATTTCATATACATGCTCTATAGCCTACTCATAGCAAATGATGCAGTAAAGGCTACTGTAAGTGTATATACAAGATAACAGGGTATAAAAACAAAAAAAGAGATTAACAGCCACACCTTGTTTCCTCTACACGCACACATCCGCACACAGGCACGCACACACACACACACACACACACACTCACGCACACACACACACACACCTTGTTTGCTCCTGGGGAATCTGATGGGGTGGTGCTGATAGGCACATCCTCTTCTGGTAAGGGATCAGCCTTTGAAGCCTGTATTGAAATAAACAAGGGGAAACGTCTGTAAGAGAGGGATGGGCTGATGTGTTCTGTTAATCACAACATTCACATAGCAGGACAATGTATAGCATAGGTAGCTGTCGATGACACCTCTTAAACTGCCCCAAAGGTGCCAGGGGATGGCTCAAATCATGACACTCCTAACTCTTACTAAATCATAAGGCATGACTACCACAGATACTGATAGACCCTGAAGCCGTTTGGCTAGTTCGAACTCTAGCCTGTTGCTGCTAACTTCTGAGAGAGAAGAGAGGCAGGGTGTGAGCGTGGGGAGTTGACAGGTCATTCATTCATCACAGTGAGGCATGTCGCAGACCACTCCCTCCCGGATCTGACTCGGGCTTGCCCTTGTGCTGCCCCTTACACACTGATTGAAGTGGATTTAACAAGTGACATCAATAAGGGATCATAGCTTTCACCTGAATTCACCTGGTCAGTCTATGTCAATGAAAGAGAAGGTGTCCTTAATGTTTTGTATACTCACAACAGTATTGTGTTCGAGACCACCTAAAGTGACACTGATTCAAGACCAAGACTGGAGCAAATCGAGTCCAAGTCAAGACCAAGACCGGGGGGGGGGGGGGGGGGGGGGGTCTTGGTCTTTTTGGTGATTGTAATTTTGTCAAATCACCACCATAATAAGAGTTCAAAATGTCCAGTATTTCTTTGTTCATATTTCAGAACAACATTTGGATTCTTTAGACATTCAAAATAGTGAAAAAATGCATGTTGAGGGAAAATAGAGCCACTCTACAAATTATTAACCCAAACACAGTGGGGAACTATGGGTATTCTACGCCTTCATAGAAGGGCTAAGGATTTATAAAATAATGATTATAATAATATAATAATAATAATGATAATTATATTATTATTTTCAATGATGTTCAGATTTAATCTCTTCAGTTTTGGGGGGGAAAGGAAAGGGTTAACACTGCAGATAAAAAAAAATATCCAATCAGGATTTTTCTTTGCTGGTCTCTGGGGAGATAAATCCATCTAGCTAAGTCAGCCATTGGCTAGGCCATCATAAGCTAGATAAAGGCATCTGCATTCAACTGTATTAGGGCAAACTTTTGGAACACCTCAGCAGAGCTGGTTAGGTTGTTTGCATGTTATCTAGAGCATTCTTGACTAACTATTACTTTTTTTGTCTATGTTTACTGACACCGGTCATATTCAGCGGATGTTGCAAGTTCGTAAATTAATCAGTTCTGCGCTCTGGCATACTCAGATGAGAGTGCTCTGAAATCGGAGTAGATAGCCAGAGTTAGGCTCTGTGTTTTTAGCTTGCTACATAAATAGATACGCTAGCCTATTAGCCACGTTATGACTGACGTGATCATTGCCCTTGCTAGTTTGATTGTATTGACATTCCCAGCCTTAATTACATTCTTCTGTTTTTGTCCAGAATATTGAGTCATTGAAACTGAAACATTGCATCCCGAATGGAGGCAGCAAACAATGTATCCGGCCAACTGTGATTTACAACCTGATAGCAATATGTTTTGGACTACCAAGAAATGTATTGGTGAATTATATGAAAGATGCATTGAACTGCATCCATCTATTCTGCCAACAATGCCTTAGTGTACGTCATGGAACGTTGAGTCTATTTTTAAACCCTCTTATAAAGTTGGTTTTGTAGCAGAAACTGGGAATTTGATATATTTTTTACTGATATTATGATTGTCTGTTTGTTTCAAATAAAATAAAATCAAATTGTATTTGCCACATGCGCTGACTACAACAGGTGTAGACATTACAGTGAAACGCTTACTTACAAGCCCTTAACCAACAATGCCGTTTTTTAAATAAAAAAGTAAAATAAAAAAAGTGTTAAGTAAAAAATAAATAAAAGCAAATAACTAACTAAAGAGCAGCAGTAAAATAAAATAACAGTAGGGAGGCTATATACAGGGGGGTACCGGTACAGAGTCAATGTGTGGCTAGTCGAGGTAATTGAGGTCATATGTAAATGTGGGTAGAGTTAAAGTGACTATGCATAAATAGTAAACAGAGTAGCAGCAGCGTAAAAGAGGGGGATGGGGTGGGGTGGGGGAGCAGTGTCTGCAAAGTAGTTATATGTCAGTTCCACTTTAAACTTTAGGTCACAGGTTACTTTGTGTGCTGAACAGGAAAAGTTTTTTTGCTATGGTAAGTAATAGTTGTACATTTCGATTGAGAAATGCTTAATGGTTGTGTTTTGTATTCTTATGATTGGGACCTACTGGTTTATTATGTTCGAGTTTATGGACTGCTTATCCTTTAACATCATGCTGTGTGTGCCTGCTGCCTTTCCATCGGCCCTATGCAGTGGTGTAGTGGTGCCTGGAGAAGTGGGTATATTCCAATTTTGCCAAAAAGTTCCCAAACGGTCCCCCCAGCAAAAATCCTGTTTTCCTATAGATTTTTTAGAATTTCACTATAGAATTTTTTTTTTTTATGGTCTAAGTCCACAACAATGCTTAAACCACATCAATCTGATTGGGTGGGCCTGTTAGGGCCTGGCTCCCAAGTGGGAGGGCCTCTGTCCACCCCATCCATGTCTACGCCCCTGATGCAAACAGTGCACGATGGAAATTGCACATCACAAATAGCCTACTAACCAACAGTTTGGACTAAACTTTTTCAACACCTGGTTTGCATACCCATTGTTGCCTTATTTAGCATTTACTGGTAGATATCATAAGTTGAAACGTCTTTCCTACCCTACCGGCTACCGATGTCATTCTTCTGGGAGCTGCTCCATGACAAAACCAGTTGAGAGCTGCACACTCTTGCTGCCTGCAGATGAAATTCCACTGAAACTAGGCTATGTGTGCGGTGCGCATTTGAATATATTTCACGTGCTTCGCGATTGTGTAGGCTACTTTGTGCATGATTTCTCTATTGTACTACATAATTGATCAATCGTATCCCTCCACTACACTACTTTGATATGCATCAGTTGGAATTAAGAAGTGAGTATAAGCAATGCCCACTGAAAATAAAGAGGGTATATACGGGTTATATCTGCGTATAGCCTCAGCTACACCACTTGCCCTTTGTGTTTTACAAAAAGTGCACTACTACATGAGCGCGCTGGTATTACGGTTGCTGACCTATAGATTTGCCACTGCGCAAACTTGCATGTAATAGATATAAAGGCTGTTAAGATACTGTATTAATGTTTCAAGAAAGGAGTGTATATATTTGGCCTGGCTAAGAGGTTTTATGCGCTGACTGAATGGAAGTTGATAATTATGAGTTTTTGACTCCGCTGGTCTCGGGAAGAAATTACGAGTCCTCACTGTCCGAGACCGAGTCAAGACCGAGTACAAATGTACCCAACACCGAGACAAGACCGAGACACTCGAGTACTACAACACTGACTCACAATTTAAATTTAAAAAAAATTGTATACTCACAATCTAAATTTAAAAATGTGTCATATCAAAACTGAGAACCGTAGCGAAAGGTATTTGCTTATTTTTTTCCCGAGATGACTTATACTTTATTATTATTATTATTATTATATTATACAGTGGGTATCATAAGTATTCACCCCACTTAGATTTTTTAAACATTTTGTTGTGTGACAAAGTGGGATTGAAATGGATTTAGTTGTGATTTTTTGTCATTGATCTACACAAACTACTCCATAATGTCAAAGTGAAAAGAGAATTCTACAAATGTCAACACATTTTATATAATTTTTTGACTAAAATATAGTTGTTGAAAAAGTATTTGCCCCTTTTGTTTAGCAAGCCTAAATTAGTTCAGGAGTAAAATGTTGCTTTAAAAATCACATAATAAGTTACAGTTGCTTTGTGTGAAATAATAGGGGTTGAAATGATTTTTGAATGACTACCTCTTCCTCTGTCCCCCATACATACAACATCTGTAAGGTCCCTCGGACAAGTATTACATTTCAAGCACAGAATCAACTACAAAGACCAGGGAGCTTTTCAAAAGCCTCATTAAGAAGGGCAGTGATTGGTAGATGGGTAACAATAACAAAACAGACATTGAATATATCTTTAAGCAAAGTCAAGTTAATAATTATGCTGTGGATGATGTATTAAACCACCCAGACACAACAAATATACAGTTGTCCTTCTGAACTGAGCTGCAGAACAGAAAGAAAACTGCTCAGGGATGTCACAATGAGGCCATTGGTGATTTAAAAAACAGCTACAGGGTTCAATGGCTGTGAAGAGAGAAAACTGAGGATAGACCAACAACATTGTAGTTACTGCACAATAATGACCTAAATGACAGAGTAAAAAGAAGAATACAAATATTCCAAAACTTGCATCAAGGCACTAAAGTAATACTGAAAAAAATCACGGCAAAGGAATACACTTTTTGGCCTAAATGCAAAGCCTTATGTTTGGGGTAAATCCAACACAACACATCACTGAGTAACTGCCTCCTTATTTTCAAGCATGGTGGTGGCTGCATCATGGTATGTGTATGCTTGTCATCGGCAAAGACTGGGGAGTTTTTCAGGATAAAAATAAACAGGATGGAGCTAAGCACGGGCAAAATCCTAGAGGAAAACCTGCTTCAGTCTGCTTTACACCAGACATGGGTAGAGGAATTCAGCTTTCAGCAGGACAATAACCTACAACACAAGGCCAAATCTACACTGGAGTTGCTTACCAAGAAAACAGTGAATGTTCCTAGTGGCCAAGAAACAGCTTTGACTTGAATCTGCTTGAAAATCTATAACAAGACTTTAACAACTATAACAAGAAATTGCTGTCTAGCCTTGACCCCCAACACCTTGACAGAGCTTGAAGAATTTTGAAAAGATTAATGGGCAAATAATGTACAATCCAGGTGTCGGGTGTCCCCTAAGCAATTAGTATATGTACAGAAAGTGCTGTAATTTCTAAACGGTTCACCCGATATGGATGAAAATACCCTCAAATTAAAGCTGACAGTCGGCACTTTAACCTCGTATCATTTCAAATCCAAAGTGCTGGAGTACAGAGCCAAAACATCAAATAATGTGCAACTGACCCAATAATTACGGAGGGCACTGTATTTGATACCATTCCACTCACTCCGCTCTAGCCATCACCACGAGCCCGTCCTCCCCAATTAAGGTGTCACCAACCTCCTGTGTCACCTACAGTGGGTGTCAGAAGTATTCACCCCCCTTGGATTGTTTTCACATTTTGTTGTGTTACAAAGTGGGATTGAAATGAATGTAATTGTTTTTGTCATTGATCTATAGAAAATACTCTGTAATGTCAAAGTGGGAGAAACATTTTTTTCAAATTAAAGCTGACAGTCGGCACTTTAACCTTATAGTCATTGTATCATTTCAAATCCAAAGTGCTGGAGTACAGAGCCAAAAGAAGACAAAATGCTTCACAGTCCCAATTATTACGGAGGGCACTGTACATCAAACACATGGTTTCCATGACATTCCGGACATTATTATGAGCCATCCTCCTATCAGCAGCCTCCTGTGGTAGGTGTAGTACGACTGCTCAACACAGCCTTTGTAACAGTTGATCACACAACTGAGTCTTCACTAACACATTTCAAGGGATGCAACTCAGTGAACAAATAGCAATTCCTCATGTAAGATTAACGTTATATTATCGTAGTCTCCTACTGCTTCTGACACCACCTGAATGAGATGACTCAAAAGAGACAGCGACAGAGAGAGAGAGAGAGAGGGAGAGAGAAAGAAAGAGAGAGAGAGGGGGGGACCAAGTTTCCAGCATTCAAGGATATAAGCCTCCTCTCCATTTTAGTGTCACTTTTAGTATGGACTCTGCCTCCTCCGCTCTGCTTGCCAGGCAAACTGCCTAGCTGCCTCAGCAACTGAGCGTCCCCCGATAGCTATGATGAATGCAATGTCCACAGGAATAAACCACCCATTTCACATTCTCCCATGATGCATTAGGTGCCAATACTCCATGTAACTGCTGTTGCTATTTAAAGCCTGCTGATTGGCTGTGATGGCCCTGCTGCCAGCCTAAAGCACAGGTATAATCGCCATTTAAATGATGCCTGCTCTCTTATGTCTTACTTCAGATGCATTTATTAGGGACTATGGAGAGAGGCTGTGTACAGAGGGAGACAAACGATGGGCCTCCATGTTAATTATCTAAACAGGATATGGAATATTCACTCTATAGCCAAAAGGTCAAGCTGGGATAACATTAAAGGGGAAAATCTAATAGCTACTGAAATCCCACAGAGGCTGGTTAAAGTAAACTGGCCAATGTGTGTCTGCATCTTTCACATCTACTGAGCTGAACCCTCTTGCTTTGGGAGGCTAGGGACAGAATTGAGAAGGGGTTTTAACGTAATTTTGAGGCATGAGAGCTAGGGCTGAGGGAATATTTGATTTGTGATGACAGACAGACACACTCTCTGTGTCACTGATCTGTTTAGTGCAGAGGATCACTGTCCATTAAGAGTAAATGGTGTTACGTGTCGGGGCTGAGTGTGTGTTTGTGCGTGTGTGACGTCCAAGGGGACGGGACTGATTAATGGGGCGATAGACAGCCTGCCATGAAATGAGTGCTCACACACATCACACACCACACACACCACCGCCTGCCAGAGAGAAAATATCACTGGCATACAGGGCAACCGAGTTCAATGGAAAAGAGGGTACATGAAACGCGAGAGAGAGAGCCCGCACGAGAGAGAAGGAAGGAACATGAAATACTAATAATACATGACTTATCCAACAATAACGAAAACTTTCATCTTCACTCATCATTATTATAATATAATGACAAATAACACTGGTGTTCATTTTTGTGTAAAAAATGCAAATTCATGTTGTGATGGAGTGTCATGGCCTTGTGTAATTGGACGTGTTGGTAGTAGGCTACATGGTAGGCCTCTATCAAGGATAATACATATTTAGGCATACTTTGTGGGCTATTTAGGCTGGCCTACCATAAACTGTCACATATGTCAACTAGGCCTACTCAGTAGCCTAAATTATTATTATTCTATTGGACACAATCTCCAGACACATACAAGGCGGGGGGAAACAATAACCTCTTCCACAGGTTGTCCCAGTGATTCCAGTATGAGTCTCTTGGTTTCCAGGTAGAGCGGTTGTCCGACCTCCTCATACGGTCTCCAGGGGGCTGCTCTGTAGCCCTGCCGGCTCAGCTGGCGCTGTCGCCGGTGATAGTTATCCCAGAACACCTGCTCCCTGGTCGGCTGACAGGCGGACCACACCGTGCTGCTCCGGGCCTGGAGCTTTTCTCCCGACGGTTTAGGAATCGGAAGCGGTTTGATTATTACGAAGTGACGCGGGTCTAATGCTACATTTCGATGAGTCGTCATTGTAATAACACCAGACAAAGCATGCAAGCTGTAGAACAAAACATTGTGTAGGCCTAGTTATAAAAATATATCATAGCCCTCAATGTTTTTTTAAATTGAAGTTGCCATGATATTTAAAAAAAAATTAAAATAAAAAAACGCAGAATAGCCAGCTAGACTTTCGCACCGGCGTCTACATTGAACCACACGCATTTTGTTGTAGGACCCTGTCTCCCGTGGTTACAGAGAAACTCAGCCCACACAGAAAGTGGAAGGTGGTAGTTTATATGGCGGGGCAGATCCAACCGCCTCGAAAACACAGTAACAATGCACATGCTTGTATGGGATTCCTGGGAATATGGATAGCGTTCTATTTCATTATTTATGTCTTAAAATTACTTTTTGAGGATGTTACTGTTGGTACAATAACACATGCACATGCCTAGTAGGTCTATCACAACTGTAAATCTCTAACTCGTCCTTTTGAAGACATTATCCATATCACTACTTTCCTCCATGCATTCACAATCCTGTCTAGAGTTTATATTAGTTGTATAGAAGAAGACAGTGGGGAATTGTAAACAGCAGCAACCATGGGGGACAATTCTTCCAGAAAACCCCAATTCAACCTCTGTTAACAACATTTTGCCTGATCCTTCAAGTAGAAACTGATGCTGGGACATCTCGCTGAATGACAGAGCCATCTGTTCAATCAGGGTTGTGCTCCAATGGACAGTGTGTCAGTGTCTTAAGGCATAGCGTCTCACAGATGAAACAATTACAACTCTGTCATAGCTGATAAAAGATGGGAATGCTAATAACCGCACTGAAAACTGCCAAAATGAATAAAAAAGAGCTTTTCAGACGGCACACACACCAAGTCAACACAAGCACACACACACGCATGCACACACACACACATGCACACACACACACACACAGACACACACACACACACACACACACACACCGCACCAAAACATTTTCGATGACACAGAACATTTCCATCCCAAAAGACCACGGGAGGCATTTCATGCTCCAAAACAAACTGAAACAGCTAGGCAGCATCTCTTTGAGCTGTGACTCAACTCTGAGGACACACACTGATGTCCTGTTGGAAACACAAACCCTTCCTTCCTCTCTACCTTGTAGTAATCCCTGATCTAACACAAATGGATAGGTGTAAGCAATGATTCTATCACATAGCTTTCACTTAGCCAGTCATATCAGATAAGGGATTTCTTCAAGGAAGGTAGGAAGGAAGGATGAAAGGAAGGAAGGAAGTATTTGAAAAGGGCTTGACTTACACACCTTTCATCACACAGCTGAGACCCTATAGAGAGAGTAAAGATCACTGGGACGTGAGAAGATTGGCCAGGTCTGTCACAGCCGGAGCTAGGGCTGAGCCTGGACAACACCTCCTCCACCTCCTCCACCTCACACACACACACACACACACACACACACACACACACACACACACACACACACACAGGGACGTGTGATGATGGGCCGGGGCTGTCACAGCCGGGGCAGGACTACGCTCCTCCACCTCCACCCCGTCCGGAGTCGGTAGTCATCCAACAGCTATTTGCCATTTCCCCCTCAAAGTTATAAATACATCTAATTAGTTCTGTTTCATTCTGTATCCCAAATGGTACCATATTCCCTATATAGTGCACTACCTTTGACCAGAGCCTTTTTGACTAGCACCCTAAAGTAGTGTACCATAAAGGGAATAGGGTGCCAGAGTGTATGCCCCCTTTTCCCTGGCCCTTTGTACAGAGGTAACAGCTCTGTCTCCGAGGCGTACCCATCACCTCACCCTCACATTCCCCTCTCATAGGATAACCATTAGTGCTTAATAAGTGCTAAAACAGACAGTGAGGGTATATAAAGAACCCCAGAGACTTCTCGGTCTTCGCTGCACAGTGCTTCTTCTCTTCTGCAACCCCTCCTCTCCTTTGTTATAAGTATTCATCCTCCGGCGATTAAAGACGACTTCTGCATTTCTTATTTGCTCCTCTGATATTTCTCTGAATCATGACCGAGCAGACCAAAGCGTACACAGCGGCCCCATCGGCACCAGGGGCACCATCACGTCCCCACTACTCCCGGGACTCATTCTGGTCTCCCCTCCGGAGCTGGTGGCAGTACCCGAGCCCCAGTCGCCTCCTCCCCAACCAGGACTTTGGCCTGCCACCGTTCCTAGAGGCCGGAGACCTCCGTGAATTTAGCTGGATAGATAACATCCATAGACGCTTGGCGGCCAGCTCCTGGCCTGGGTACATGCCCTCTCTCCCCCTCTTGGTGCCCTCCTTCCTGGTCCCGGCCTCTTCCATGCACCAGCCGGGCTCCAGGCTGAGCAGGGCAGAGTCTGCAGGGTTGCAGGGGCTGTCGGAGGTCCGGGTGGAGGGGGCCAAGTGGAGGATCACCCTGGATGTCAGTCACTTCTCCCCTGTAGAGATCACTCTCAGGACCCGGGAAGGCTTCCTGGAAATACGAGGTAGGCCTACACCTATAGTGAAGCTATTGAGATGTATACTGAAATGCTGCTGTTTTGTTATAGAATAGATACATACAGTGTAATGAAACTGATATGATCAACTTATTTTACAGCACAGATAAAGTGTATTATAAAGTGAAGGTACTGCTGTGTTGAACAAAACACTGCTGTTATGTTATACAACAGTATTGTGTACTGAGACTGATTTGCTTCAGTGTTATAAAGATGTATGCAAACCATAAACAGTCTGGTGTTTAGACATGATGCCCAAAGGACAGAGTTTGAGTGAGTTAGTGGAATATAAGAGCTCAGGGAAATTAAGAGAGTAGGACTGTGGTGGCATACAGCAATCCATTTCTCCCAAATGGTACCCTACTCCCTATATAGTGCACTACCCAATGTGCCTTGGTCAAAAGTAGTGCAATACAAAGGGAGTAGGGTGTCATTTGGGACACATCCTCAGTGTTGATGTCTAGATCCACTGTGGGTATTCATATTGCTAATATAATTGATATTTCATCCTTAGGGAAACACGAGGAGAGACCAGACGTACATGGCTTTATTGCGAGATGCTTTACCAGGAGATACACGTAAGTTTCCACAATAATTTGAGAAATGTATTTAAGCTTCACCAGTTTATATTGTACACTACCAGTCAAAAGTTTGGACACACCTACTCATTCAAGGGTTTTTCTTTACTTTTACCATTTTTTACATTGTAGAATAATAGTGAAGACATCAAAACTATGAAATAACATATATGGAATCATTTAGTAAAGAAAAAAGTGTTAATCAAATCAAAATATATTTTATATTTGAGATTCTTCAAATAGCCACCCTTTGCCTTGATGACAGCTTTGCACACTTTTGGCATTCTCTCAACCAGCTTCATGAGGTAGTCACCTGGAATGTATTTCAATTAACAGGTGTGCCTTCTTAAAAGTGAATTTGTGGAATTTCTTTCCTTCTTAATGTGTTTGAGCTAATCAGTTGTGTTGTGACAAGGTGGGGGGGGGGGGGGGGTATCCAGAAGATAGCCTTATTTGGTAAAAGACCAAGTCCATATTATGTCAAGAACAGCTCAAATAAGAAAAGAGAAACGACAGTCCATCATTACTTTAAGACATGAAGATCAGTCAATACGGAACATTTCAATAACTTTGAAAGTTTCTCCAAGTGCAGTCGCAAAAACCATCAAGCGCTATGATGAAACTGGCTCTCATGAGGACCGCAACAGGAATGGAAGACCCAGAGTTACCTCTGCTGCAGAGGATAAGTTCATTAGAGTTACCAGCCTCAGAAATTGCAGCCCAAATAAATGCTTCACAGAGTTCAAGTCACAGACACATCTCAACATCAACTGTTCAGAGGAGACTGTGTGAATCAGGCCTTCATGGTCAAATTGCTGCAAAGAAACCACTACTAAAGGACACCAATAAGAAGAAGACTTGGGCCAAGAAACACGAGCAATGGACATTAGACTGGTGGACATTTTTCCTTTGGTCTGGAGTCCAAACTGAAGATTTTTGGTTCAAACCGCTGTGTCTTTGTGAGACATGGTGTGGGTGAACGGATGATCTCCACATGTGTAGTTCCCCCCGTAAAGCATGGAGGAGGAGGTGTTATGGTGTGGGGGTGCTTTGCTGGTGACACTGTCTGTGATTTATTTAGAATTCAAGGCACACTTAACCAGCATGGCTACCACAGCATTCTGCAGCGATACGCCATCCCATCTGGTTTGGGCTTAGTGGGACTATCATTTGTTTTTCAACAGGACAATGACCCAACACACCTCCAGGCTCTGTAAGGGCTATTTTACCAAGAAGGAGAGTGATGGAGTGCTGCATCAGATGACCTGGCCTCCACAATCCCCCAACCTCAACCCAATTGAGATGGTTTGGGATGAGTCGGACTGCAGAGTGAAGGAAAAGCAGCCAACAAGTACTCAACATATGTGGGAACTCTTTCAAAACTGTTGGAAAAGCATTCCAGATGAAGCTGGTTGAGAGAATGCCAAGAGTGTGCAAAGCTGTCATCAAGGCAAAGGGTGGCTATTTGAAGAATCTCAAATATAAAATATATTTTGATTTGTTTAACACCTTTTGGGTTACTACATGATTCCATATGTGTTATTTCATTGTTTTGATGTCTTCACTATCATTCTACAATGTAGAAAATAGTAAAAATAAAGAAAAACCCTTGAATGAGTAGGTGTGTCTAAACCTTTGACTGGTACTGTATATTAGAATGTAGCAAAAAGAGACACATCATTATTAGAATACTAATTGTACACTCTTGTTTACACCAACATAAAGCAATACTAATGTTTATGACATAATAAATTAATATTATGAGTACTGTACTTATAAACATGATGAATTATACATATTGTGTATTGTAATATTGTATTCATTGTATGTGTATGATAACATGATTGTGTGCTGTCCCAGGCTCCCAATAGGTATTGATCCTAAAATCATCCGCTCCTCTCTGTCTGGTGATGGCATCCTGTCTGTGGAGGCTTCACTTCCTGATCCCACCATCCCTGCTGACATCGTCATTCCCATTCAGGTCAGGTGAACAACTAACTAGAGGAGAAACATGAAATTGAACTGTATATAGTACTCATTGTCTGTTTTGGTCAATTCCTTGCCTTCGACACTTAAAAGAAAGTACAGTATGGAGTAGGAAGTCGGAAGCATAGGAGGTATATAGGAGTAATAACAGAACTGTATCTCTGTGTCTGTCCATATCCTTTTTTATTTGATATCTGTCACATACATTAGAACACAAATAGACACATGACCCTTAATCATAACCTGTACGTTTATTGTATGTTCTTTACTGCTACATGTCTATGTAGGTGGAGAAGGAGACCATAAGAAAAGAGGGAGAGAAGGGTGGTGCCAAGCCAGAGAGTACTACTGAGCCAGACACAGAGACCCGGGACCACCAGCCTTCTCCATCTGCCCCTGCTGTGGCCCCTGTGTCCCTGGAGGCACCTGACTTCACCCCCACAGAGCCTGGCACACTACCCCCAACAGAGGCACTCGAGTGCGGGGACGAGTTCGCACGGGTAGTCCCTGGAGAAGAGGCTCACCCAGAGGCTCAACCAGACAGCTCCGCGGCAGGACCCGAGAGGCATGAGGAGGTGAGAGGAGATGCAGATGAGAGGACCCCTACTGAGCCAGCTGGGGAGATGGCGAGCCATCCCTCTGGGTCCGCAGATGATGAAGCTAGAGAAGAGGAAGGTCTTACAACTTCCACAGAGCCCTTTGAGCACCTCGAGACTCCTGACAGCCCCGACACCCCAGACACAGTCACGTCTGACCAGGGGGAACACACAGACCAAGCCCATGACCACGGCAGAGAGCTCCAGCACCCGGAGGGCACAGGGGAGACGGCGGAAGAGCTCCCCCAGCCTGAGGATCCTGAGCCAGGCATGAGTCCACCAGAGGAGGGGGCCCCCCACTCCCAGGAGCTGGAAACCCCAGAGCACCCTGATATGGAGCAACAGGAGTACACCAAGTAAAAAGAAAAGAGACATTGCCATCATTTCATCATCCCATCACGGATTCCCTATGCATCAAATCATCCTTCCCATCGCGCCTACATTCTGCAGACTCCTCATGACTAGACAGGTCCCAGATCTGTTGTTCTGCCCACTGCCGACAATGACCATGGGGAGTTTGCAAGACAGCACAAACAGATCTGGGACCAGGCTACTTCATCATCAGCTAGCAGCAAAAGCTTGCATAACTAAATCTACCCTAACTCTGTATGTAAGTGTAGACCCACATACATATTCACACTGTAACCATGCAACGTTTGGAGCCCCAATAAATCAATGGCAAATGAAAAAGGCTAAAGCTATGTCCAATTGTAGTGTCACATTCATTTACATTATGTTTAAGTCATGTAGCATACAATCCATTTCCAGAGCGATTTACAATCAATATTCCATATGCTTTGGTATTCCTTGTGTGATCATATTGACACGCTGAACTCAAAATAACCTTTTCCGCATTGTTACAAAACTTGGGAGGCGCATGGCGATGCGGTACGGAGCTCAATTTGGCCTCTGCATGCCTCAGAAGGCTCCGCAATTGCGTCACACCCTCCATACGGAGCCTCCGACCACATTTTCAGATCAAGCATAAATTGGCTTTTACATGATGCAGTTCAGAATGAGAAACCTGTCCAAGGACACACAGCCATGATTCTGATCATAGCTACAATGGGCTACAATATGTAATCACAATGCAGGGGTTTTAAAGGCACTAAATATAATAGGATCAAACATATCTGAATGAATCTCAACAATAACCAGTAGCCCATTCTCAAAATTCAAATTTTTATACTGTGGCTTCAAAACACCTTAGTAACACAACACATGACACAGCAGGCCACCTAATCCTCCAATTCTTCCCCCTGTAGTCAAACAATGGCAAATCTAGCAATGCCCCCTTGTTGCCCTCACTATGAGGGGCAAGTGGCAGTGCCAAGCTCCCCTGTGTTAATCAATCCTTGGTCTGCGTCCCAAATGGCACCCAACTTCCTTTAAAGTGCACTACTTTTTACCAGAGCCCTATGGCCCATAAGTAGTTCACTATAAAAGGGAATAGGGTACCATTTGAGACGCACGACTACACTAAGCTGTTCCCCAATTACTGTTGTTGGGCACTGTTGGGCAGACATCTTGGATTCTGGCCCATATTGTACATGGCAGACAGAACAAAACACACAGATGTGAACACACACTGGGATTTTATTGCATAAACAAATACAAAGACATCAGGGAAAGGAAGAGAGAGAGGTATGGAGGAGATGAGGGAGGGCAGCGGAAGGAGAGGGAGTGGAGAAGTCTAGCAGAAATTCATTCCCTTTGCACCAAGAACGAACACAGCGTCATCATTACATGTACAAATAGAAAAATGGAAAGAACATCAGTTTGTAAGACCTCTAGGTAGGGTAATCATGGCACTCGAATAGATGTGTCTATGGGTTGGCACATACTGTTAAGTGCAATGTATTTACAGACAGTAGGCCTACATTAGGGTAGAATACAGTTTCAACACAAGTACAGTAGGTTACACACTATAATGATGGGAATAGCCCTTTTATTAAGTCTTCCCACTCAGAAATGAAGCCATATAGGATAACTTTATTTGATTTTCCATTTTAATGTGCTTCTTTCATTTACACATTTAACATAATGGTCAAAAAATGATAAATTACATATAAAAGACACTGCCTTTTCATGTCAAATGGTGTTTTCATCACAAATGGGATACGGATAGAAAACCAAGACATCACATGATGATCCAGACAGAATGGGCCCCCAGCCTGCTTCTAGCCTGCTCAATTTAGGATCTGGAGTCAGTTCAGTATTGCATCTGGGACTGGATGCATACTGTATATAGCAACTCTACTGTGAGACATTTAGTTTGTGACTTTTAATTAAATCGGTGAGAGATCCAAGCAGCTTCGCCGCCAAGAGATACACAAACACCATGTTATTATTATATATTTTAGGAGAGTGATTGAGTGATTACTTAACACTCAAAATGAAAATCAGAGTGCTTCTTTGGCACCATATTCCCTATACAGTGCACTACTTAATAGGGAATAGGGTGCCATTTCGGACCCATCCCAACAACATGATGCGGAGGGTCTTGATGGCTTTGAACCGGTGTTAGCCCTTTCTCTACCCTGCTTGATGTTCTATAATGTCCCGAGGGGGGCCCGGGGTGAGCCTGTGTCTCCCTAGGGGAGAGAGCTCGGTCCTATGCTTCGTCCTAGACCATGGTGGCCTCCTGGCTCTGGCTGGCCTCCTCCATCTCTCTCTGGGGACCTTCGTTACTGAAGAGGTAGTAGGGAGGGCTCTGCCGCGCCTCGATGATCAACACCCCCTCTGGCGACAAGGAGGCGAAGACTGTCAGAGGGTCCACGTCGGTTGGAATCCTGAGAGGGAGAAAGAGAAGAGAGAGAGAGAACATTTGAGAGACTTGTACATACAACTTTATGCTTGAGGGTCTTGAAAAAGTTGGTACAAAGACAGAGAGAACAGTTGTGAAAGGAAAGGCAAAACATTGTGTACACCACTGTCCTTGGAGTTTTTAAAAATGTTGCAACCTTTCCTGAATTACCTCAGCAGCGCTGCAAATACTGTTTGGTGCTAACAAATGGATTTGATTGACATCTTGTCGATACCTACAACAGCAATTTTTCTTCCCTCTTTGGCCATCGCTCATTTTCCAGGTTTTCATTAAAATGTTCTGGCTGCCATTATCATCGCAAAAAAGAAGGACAAAAAAAGAGACACTCGCTCCAGGATTTAGAAATAAAGGCTGATTCCAATTATTACAAATGTCTGTATGATGGAAAGTTTATTATCACCTGAAATTACCAGTTGCATACTTTTCTAATTAGCTCATCTCAACAGCCAGACAGACAGGGAACAGCCAATCTCCCTTTCCCCCCTTGGTTTTCTAACTGCAAATGTGACGCGTTTATGACTAAATTAGCATAAATGGATTCCTCATAAATGTGTTTTGAGAGCGAGGGAAAGAGGGAGAGAGAAAGAGAGTTTAGAGAGAGAGAGTGATATATCATTACTGTCTGTCAAAATGGATTCTGGAGGATTTTATTTTATTTTATTAGGATCCCCATTAGCAGACGCCAATGGCGAAAGCTAGTCTTATTGGGGTCCGACACGTAACAGAAAATACATTACAGACAAAATACTTTAAAATGTACATACATTTCAAAACATGAACATATAGTGTGCATATGCGTTTGCATCTATCAGTTACACATGTCAGTACATACATGAGATGGAAGGCAGTTCCTGTATAATACTGTACGCTTCCTTGAATTTGTTCTGGACCTGGGGACTGTGAAAAGACCCCTGGTGGCATGTCTGGTGGGGTAAGTGTGTGTGTCAGTGCTGTGTGTAAGTTGACTATGCAAACAATTTGGAATTTCCAACACATTAATGTTTCTTATAAAAGAAGAAGTGATGCAGTCAGTCTTTCCTCAACTCTTACCCAAGAGAGACTGGCATGCATATTATTGATATTAGCCCTCTGATTACAATGAAGAGCAAAACGTGCCACTCAGTTCTGGGCCAGCTGCAGCTTAACTAGTCCTTCTTTGTAGCACTTGGCCATATGAATGACTGGACAACATTCAAGATAAGATAAAACTAGAGCCTGCAGGAATTGCTTTGTGGAGTGTGGTGTCAAAAAAGCAGAGCATCTCTTTATCATGGACAGACCTCTCCCCATCTTTACAAACATGTAATCAATATGTTTAATCAACAATGACAGTTTACAATCTAAGGTAACACAAAGGAATTTAGTCTCCTTAACTTGCTCAACAGCCACACCATTCATTACCAGATTCAGATGAGGTCTAGAACTTAGGGAATGATTTGTACCAAATACAACGCTCTTAGTTTTAGAGATGTTCTGTACCAGTTTATTACTGGCCACCCATTCTAAAACCGACTGCAACTCTTTGTTTAGGGTTGACGTGATTTCACTAGCTGTGGTCGCTGACGCGTAGAGGGTTGAATCATCAGCATACATGGACACACAGGCTTTGTTTAATGCCAGTGGCAGGTCATTGGTAAAAATAGAAAATAGTAGAGGGCCAAGAGAGAAGGATGGAGAGAGGAGGACTGGTATGATGGGACCAATATGAGATAAACAGACAGAGATTGCTTCTGAAATTGCACCCTATTCACGGCCCATAGGGCTCTGGTCAGAAGTAAACTTTATAGGGAATAGGGTGCCATTTTGGACGAAACACTGGTATGATTGGACCAATATGAGATAAACAAACAGAGATTTAAAGATTACCTTGGTTGCTAGATAGAATATATCCTTGGAGTATATAGCCCAGACAGAAGCATATGGCTCTGGGTAAAGTTAGAGGTATTGTGTTCTCTGCTATCAATTCCTCACAAATGTCAGCATGGGATTAACCTTTACTGAGTTTTATCTGGTCTAATCTGGTTTACGATCAAAACATACATTCTCTTCCTTATTTTAAATACATTGAGTGTACAAAACAGTAAAGAGGCACTATGCAGAAATCGCTCCGCCATTTCCTGATTGCTAAAATTCTAATAGTGCGCCTAATTTCAGTTTATGTGAAAAAACAAGCAAATATAGCGTAGAGAATCATTGTACCATCTAAACCGCTGTGAAATATATTTTCCATAACCAAAAATATTGTATTTTCAGCTGTTTGAAGCTGGTGTACAAAACTGAAAGTAAAAGATGCCAAAAACATGAGAACGGGAAGCATAGAAATAGCACACATAGAACAGATTTACCACTTCTTAGACTTACTTTTAATGAGAATGATTTAATCGGGTCACCCAAAAAGTTACATATTACAGCTTTAAGAACACCTGCTCTTTCCATGACATAGCTTTCACCTGGATTCACCTGGTCAGTCTATGATCCCTTATTGATGTCACTTGTTAAATCCACTTCAATCAGTGTAGATGAAGGGGAGGAAACAGGTTAAAGAGGGATTTTTAAGCCTTGAGACAATTGAGACATGGATTGTGTATGTGTGCCATTCAGAGGGTGAATGGGCAAGAAAAAACAATTTAAGTTCCTTTGAATGGGGTATGGTAGTAGGTGCCAGGTGCACCGGTTTGTGTCAAGAACTGCAA